ATATATACAGTATATATATATAATAAATAGAGAGTGCTGCACCACCTGGAGGTCTATGTGGGAACAACACAAACGGCAGCTCTGACGACTTCGGTCTCTGATGTTTCATCTTTATCTCTGCTCCAGCCACGAACACTGGTGAGTCACAAAAAGCCACGATGGGCGGGGGCTAGGTGTCAGCATGTGTGTGTGTGCAGGGGTGAGAGATAGGAAGAGAATGGGAATGAGAGAGGGTGGAGCTGAGGGGTGTATTAATAACTTCAAAGAGTGAATCACATATTTGTTTAATGGATTAGTGAAGTCCGTGTTCTTTATATGGTAAGAATTACTGCATATTCGTGTACTTTATGTTGTCAGTGTTGTATATTCATGAATGTTCGCGCATGAATGACCTTTTGACCTGGTAAAGACAACAATTATTGCTGTTTTATGATCATATCTTTTTCACTACTGTATGTTGCGCCCGTGATCTGGAGGCACAATAAGATGCAGTGGCGCCGAATGACCAGCAGAGGGCAGCAACCACTGAAATGTAATAAATAGCTATTGGTTCATGGATTGTAGGTTACATTTAAATATTTAAATTAATATAATAAATAGAGGTAAACGTAGATATTTTGAAATACTGCAATACTGCAAATACTGCTAGGTGTATGTGAGACTGAAAGTTATATATATATATGTATATCAGTCCAAGTGTGATCTATTTCTCCATAATTATTGTAAAAAACAAGTTCTGTTCAGCTTGTGATTATAATTTATTTTTATATATTAATTTAAATATTATTATATTTACATTCCTCCATTTTATTACTGTTACATAATAATTTGGGTAATTATTTTGTTATGTTATATTCTATTTTCATGTCAAATTTACTGACACTCATATTGTGTTATTTGACCCTATTTTAAACCTTTTTTATTTACCTGCTGCACAGAGACACACTCCCACATGAACAGATCACCGACCTGAAAAGAAACAGGCTACGTACGGTTGGATGTGTTATTTTACCTGGGTGTGGATTTCCTCATTAATTGAACGCTTGGCCTCCTGTTTCTTCTTCACTGCCAGCAGCTCCACCAGAGGTTTGATGGTCATCCCCTGATAAAAAAAAAAAGAGAGTGAGAGGAAAATACATGTTAGTCAGAGAGATTATATAAGTTTGTTTGTCACAGCGGATTCTCCTTGAATCCATTATTCACCGAAGAAAATTAAAATCCAAACCAACGTCTGAACAGTGTTTGGCAGCTGAAATATTTGCATATTCATAAAGCAGTAAAATGAAGCTGATATTATCCTCACTCTTTGAAGTGTTACTCAACTGTGTGTGTAGTCCTTATCTGTCCAAACGGTGACTGTAGGACAGTTTTATCTTTAATAGGTGACCTATGTAAAAAGCTCATTTACTTCGTCCATTACGTTATGACACCAGTTGCTTTTTTTTCCAGTCCCTAACCCAGGAAGCACATGTTTACGATAAAGTTAGAGATAAAGTTTGTGGTGAAATTCTCAAGAAATACAGAGATTGTTTAAACATGTAGCGAGCTAGAATTTCTGAACTGCTCACATGTGGCAATAAATTCATTTTTGAGAACAGACAAAAGAAAAAAACTAGTACTTGAAGTGAACTGCACGTCAGCCAATAAGAACACACTTCTCTCAGACCAACCAGCGTCATCATACCTGCACAAAGACGGTGAAGAAGATGACGGTGATGATGGCCGTGAGGAACATCTCTCTCATTGGAAAATGATTTTTATCCAGCAGGAAGCCCAGGGAGAAGGCGATGGCTCCTCGCAGGCCACCGTAGGCTATGATGAACTGGTCCTTGGTGGTGAGTTTGACGATGCGGAAGTGGTTGATGATGAAGGTCAAGCCCACCACGCCTACGGAGAGGTAACACAAAGGGATGTTTGCTGTGTGGTATCTGTGATAAATGTACAATAATGTATGTGTACATATATATACATATACATATATATACACATATATATAAATATATATAGATATATATACAAATATATATATACATATAGATATACAAATATATATATACTGGAAATATATATACAAATATATATACATATATGTATATACACATATATAATAAATTTGTCTCGTAAATCTGCCGTTACAATTAATTTGCGATATGTATAACTCTGTGGACAGAGTAAGGAAAAAAACATTTGATTTTGTTTTTGTTTTGTTGTTGTACCGTTTACTAATGACTTTAGTCCTGATTACAGACACAGACCGACCCCTCAGCAGTACTGACCTATGACTCGAGCCACCAGACACAGAATGACGGTCACGGTGACGAACGTCCAGTTCCAAGAGTGAGGTCCGTCCACCGTGGCCACGCCCAGAAATATGAAGATGAGCGTTTCGCTGACGCTGCTCCACATTTTCAGAAAGTACTTGATGGTGGTGTGGGACTTATGGGATATGTTGGCCTCAACGTAAGGACGCATTACTGCCCCACACGCGATCAACCTGTGGATGAGGGTTCAGGTTAAAGACAAAGAAGAAAAAGGGTGAGAAAGACAGACGAAAAAATGCTTTGTGAATCGGATAAAAATCCACACAAATACATGACAATTCACATCAGTGAAATAAAAAAATCACGCATCAGGGTGTAAGGAGTAGGCTGTGTTAGCTCCGAAAGACACTGGTCAAACTATGACACTACACACTCCAAGACAGCAGGGGGCTGTACAGAGGAGTTCAATGGTGATGTGCAGTGTTTTTGGAAAGAAATTTGACTTTTATTTTTCTTACAAATAAACTATCGTTGGAATTGGTCAGAATTTGTCTGGAGCTCATTTGGTTTAAAACAAAAAATCATTAAAAAAAAAATCATATTTTACCATATCTTCCCAACAACTGACAGTCGGAATTTGATGCACAAAAAATAGGTCAGAGTTTTCGTGACAACGTGCAGTGAAGACAGAGCATGTGATTCTAAGTAGACAGATTTTTTCACTCCTGTCTGGTGACCACTTCTCTGTTTCCCTCTTTTGTCATGCAAAGAAATTTGAAAAAAAAACAAAATGTAGTTGTTAAAATAAACTAAGTGGAAGCGAATCCACAAGAGTCACGGCAGGTTTTTTTTTTTTTTGGTCCATGTCAGTATTGATTTTGTATTTGGGATTTAGCGAGGTCACACGCTCTCTGTCACCAAATGAAAAAAGACAACACTGACAAATCCAGTTCATCACGTCAGGTCCCCATGGCTACAGGCGTCAGAGAGGGGATTGTCCTCGCGGAGAGACATTCACCGGCCGTGACGCTGTGATTTAGAGTATTACCTCCTGCTGTCCCCGGTGTCCGTAACTTACACTGCGTCAAACAGAGGCAGGGATGGTTAGAACTGCAGGGAGCTGATGAAAAATGACAGCAGAGAGAGAAGGTCCAGATGCCTGTGAGGCCTTGGTTTAGATGACGTTAGAGGAGAGATGAATTCATTACATCTCAGATTTTACTGCTCTACAAATCCACCGACGTTCGCAGCTGCTTTACTGACAACGTGGAGGAATTAAATGGATTTCTCCTGCTGTGGCAGGGTGTCATATGTACCACGACAGCCAATCACAGCAGGTAGATGTATTATATAGATAATCCAGAGTAACTACTTCACAGGATCAGTGCAGGACTTCACGGTATTTCAACTATTGTTTTTAAATCCGTATGGAATTTTTATGCGGCCTCTCTTCTCTCCAGTGGCAGTTCCCTTATCTAGAAGTAAACAACCTGTGGCTCCTGGAGTCCCATACAGCTCTTTAGCCTCTTAACATTGGGTCACACTGCTAGATCACAGATGACCGATGCCTCAAAACAACCAGAGTTTTCAGCTTTCTTGTTTGAATGTTGACCTTTCTTGATTGTCTCTCATAACCTAAAGATCAGGTATGAAGTTTAAAGGGAGAGTGAGTGATGTTGACCTCACGGTCACCGTCAGTGAAGCTGAATGTTGGACCTGAGTTGGTTGGTTGACTACATGTAAATTGCATCTTGTGTTTCATGTTTTTTGGACTGTGTACAAATTCATATAATACATTTTTGTACAAAACCCATTTCACTGCACATTGAATTTTAAATCTGAAACAGTGTACTGGACATTGAATTTTAAATCTGAAACAGTGTTAAAATCAAATAATTGTAAAAGCGAATACAACCTCTTCCAAATCACAAGATAAACATTTTTCTGCGTTCTTTTTTTTTTCTTTGAAATTTCCATCCACTTACGCCATGATGCCTGACAGGTGGAACATCTCAGCAGAGAGGTACGCCATGTAGCTGTACACGAAGACGAAGAGCGGCTCGATGACGCGCGTGTGTGAGGTGAAGCGGGAGGTGAAGGCGGCCAGGATGCCGTAGATTGCTCCGACTAAAACACCCCCGACTGCAACCACCAAAAAGGAGATGATTCCTAGGACGACGTCCATCACCGTCACCGAGCCAACGCCTGCATACTCCTCGAAAAGATGGTAGAGCACCTGAGGGAGAAGAAGAAGAGAGGAGAGAGAGAGAGGAGAGAGAGTCATGAAACTAATTTCACATCAATACAATAATGTTTAACTCTTTGACAAAATCCATACAGCACTGAAACGTTTTGTGAAATTATGGCCATGGGCGAAGAACACACATTTGATCCACGGCAAAACATTGAAAGAAAGAAAGAAGCAGAAGAACATCTTCAAAGACGTTCACACACATGAATCCACAGGAAGTCTGGACCTGAGTTCAGAACAGGGTCACGTGTGATAAATGCAGACGGGGACAGGATGTGTCCAAAGGAAGAAGCAGCCAGGAGGTGGAGCCAGACTTGAGCAGGAGGAAGAGACCCGACCCACAGCTTGGGATTTTATCCAGAACTCTTCCTGCTTCTCCCCGTGGTATTTGTTACTCCTGCTGCAGAGCCGACAGAAGGAAGGCCCGGAAGAGAGAGAGAGCGTCTGAGTCTGAACACGGATGTGTGTTCTTACCTGCCTTCAACAGACTATTTTAAGAAAACGTCTGTTCATGTTGTTACCTGTCTGACAGCAGCTACGGACGTCATGTAGCCTGTGACTGCAGTGGATTTCATGGAGCAATGCAAATTTGTTGGTGGGGAAAAAAACAAAAATCTTTAAAAATAGAAATGATTTTAATTTTTTTAGCACCATGTGTTGCTAAAGTAATAGATAATAAAACTAATTTCATAGTTTTCTTAGCAAAAAAAAAACATAAAAGTATTTTCATAGTTTTCTTAGCAAAAAACAAAGGGTCAGCTGATCAAAAAAACCTTTTTGTTTTTTTGCAATTGTTCAAATCAACGTGTATTAAATCAAGCTGGAACAAAGGGGCATATGTGACACCAAACAGCAGGGGGCGCCTGAAGAAGATGGGAGTTTGGCTTTGAAACAGGTAAAGATCCATGTACCTACTTATGTGTCATAACTGACTATAGGAAATGTAAAGGATGACATCATCTACATGGAGACATATTAGACACAGTGGAGATAATGATTTTAGATTTTTTTGTGTCACAAAATTATCTTAAAACCTGGTAATGCTTTTTTTTTCTTCCATCTATTCATTTAATCATTTAACATAATTTAACCCTACTCCATGCTATTCTATTTTGGCTTTTCTTTTTTTATATTCTATTCTGCTTTTGTTCATGGTTAGTGGAGTTGGGTAACAACCTGCTGCCCAGTATTTTACTACGTGCCACATAAACACTTCGGCCCAACACAAGTCGGCCCACGCTGCCAAAGCCTTCCTTCGCTCATGATCTACGACTCTTAGCGCGGTCTTGGACAGTGATGAGTGTCAGCGAGCCTGAGGATGTACTGAGGCTAAACTTACACCTGCAGTAATAACACATGACCTCGAGACAATGACCCCTGGGAAATGTGCTAAAGTGGATTTACTGTACGGTCAGAGAGAGAGATTTATGGAGCGTCCATGACCTGAGGTCGGTGACTCAGCCACCAGCAAACATAGTAGGGGTGTTTGTTGGCAAGAACCCGGCAACACGATACGTATCATGATACAGGCGCGACAATACGATATATTGTGATGGATAAATATATCGCGGTAATTAATTGTGAAATGTTTGATCCCCTGGAGTGTTGTTGTTACATTTTTTAAAATCTACTAAACTTCACATTCACACTTGGTGCTGTATTTACCATTAATTATGATGTTATGTTTCTTTGGTGCTTGTTACATTCTGCTTGGGCGTTTTGCGGAAATGCAGAAGCAGCAGCAACAGCGATTTCCCTCCTGGGAGTGATGATTTTTTTAATCTGATTCTCATCTAAAAAAAAACAAAAAACACCCCGTGGGTGTGTGTAGAGTACACGAGAGTACTGTTTACAGACCAGATGATAAAAGGGAGGAGGAAATGTGACTGTTTGGCCTGGACATGATCCAGATCCCAGTGTGGTCCCATATCTGTGATGTCTGCAGTTCTGCCTCTAATGGTACTTTTTACTGATAAAACTGTGGTGACAAATTCCACTATAAAAGTTTCCTGTTAGTCACTCTAACAGTTCACTCACCACAGTGACGGCGTC